AAGGAGGATTTATTTAGGGGTTTGATCCCTTTTAGGGGGTTGGTTTCCTTTGTGCTGAGCCCTAGAGCTGCATCTTCCCAGACCTGTAGTGGCTCAGTTTCCTGCATTGCTCTGCAGGGGGTGATAATCCCAACTCTGTGCCTTGTTTGGGGGAGACCAGAGGATCTGGCCCATCAGGATAGGGTGATGGGGAGCCCAAGAGCACAAGAATAGGTGGCAGTGGAATGATGAGCACACTGGGGAAACAATCCCAATAAGACTTGTGAGAACACACCATTACACACAGTGGCCAGAGTCTCCTGGTTTCCCTCTACAGTCCACCCCCATATCAGTATTAGGAAAAGTGACATGTGTAAAACAGGGGCATGTGAAGTAAGGCGCTGCTGATTGTACATAACACTGACTATAACAGCCATGTTTGCTACCTCTGCAGCCAATCATAGCTCTGCTAAGGTCCAATCAGCACCTCCCACACATTCTATGTATGCAAGCGCAGTTAGCAAAACTACCCTATCCCAGGAAACCATCTTGGTTATGACTATCTTGCAGCCCACTGAGATGTAGGGTCACTCATGCCGGTCACTCACTAACCTAGGTTGCCCATCACTGGACTAATATGATCATAACAGTCCCTTCTGGCCTTGAAATCTATACATCTATAAACATAGTCCCAATCTCTATACAATCCATAAGGCCTGTGCTATATGCTAGTTTCTCTCTGGCTCCATTGGACAAGAATCTTCAAATTTTCCTTTATAAATGTGGCTGTGGCTATGCTTCTTTCACCATGTTCCTGTCTTTTTCTTCTTAAGCAGCAATAAAACTCAGTGGTCAACCATGAGCTTAGAGCTAAGTCATAGGTGGTGCTGCGTAGCCGTGGAATCCTCCAACTCCTGATTCCTTTTTGCACCTTTGCAGGAGATGGCCATAAATGTGCAGGTCCTGCTCAGAGTTCTTCTTGGGGTTCTAATTACAGCAAGCCCGTCTACCCGCAGCACAGGTCTGTTCTTTTAAAGCACAATCAAATCCTTAACGCTTGTGTTTTGATGTTAATAACTCTTATTCAGTAATAATGGAACAGTTGAGTACAGAAATAGTAGGAGTAGCATCTAGCAGGTATAAAGTCACAATATTTCTGAGATGCTCTTGCAAAATGGCTGCAATTTTAAATACACATAAGAACTTTGAAAGCTCTATGCTGGATCAGGTTAACATAATGGCCATTCACCTAGGGATCTGCCCTTTATGTCTTTGAAGCTACGGCAGTGATAGTTTCATGCTATACGGTCATTTGTTCAAAAGCACCATTTTGTACAATTTGTTATAATCCACAATTGCTGCTGGAAAAAAAACACACTGGAAAAGGAAAGATGTAGCAGGCTAAAATCTAGACATTTTGATACTATATTTGCTCTTAAATTGAAGTTCTAAAATATCCCACATTTACGTGAAAATGGAAGTCTGATGAATAAAAATGCTGTTGTACAAAGCTTTTTCCAGTAGTGTTTTCCAATCAGAAGATAAAGCTGAATAATTTAAAACTCAACATCCAGCCTACAGTTTAGTGAGTATATTCTTCCCCATCAGAAAGAGAAACCAATACAGGTTGAACCTCTCTAGTCCAGGACCCTCTGACTGTTGCCAGACCAGAGAATTTTCCAGACCAGGTTAATGTTATCTAGCAGCATTACCAATACTTCTGAGCTGTTAGAAGGTATTTAGGGGTATATTAGAGCTAAACAATAGGACAGAACACAAAGCCAGGACTGGTGGCTGTAAATAAACTTTATGGGACTGTGGGAAACTTGGCCACAGCCATGATAAGTGGTCATCTGTCAAGGATGTTTCCCATTCTGACAAAAGGTGGGGGCTCACAAGAGACCTTAAATACCTTGTCTCTTCAGGCATCTGCTTATAAAAACTCCCCAAGGTCACAGATTTCCTGACCTTGGGAAATAGCTGCCAGTGTTCAAAGCTGTGTACAGCTTCACAGGTGATTAATAAGCCTTGCCCAGTGAGTCAGCACCATGCACAGAGTCCTGAGCCTCTGACTGGGTGGGGCGGATTAATCATCTGTGAAGCTGTGCTGCCACTCAGCTTAGAGGGAACACTGGTAGCTGACACTATTAAGAGTAAAACAAAGACCCCTTCTTCTGAAATGCAGGAAGAAGCGCTTGATCTTCTTTCACAGGGGTACCCCCAAGCTTTTCTGCAAGAGGGCTTGAGAAAAAACAGAAAAACTGCAGTCTCTCATAGCTGATCTCTTAGTCTTAGGCATGCATACACAGATCCTCTGATACCTTCCAGACACAAGAATCAAATAATCGCCTTAAAAAAAGATGATTAACAAAAACATATACTTAATAAAGCATAGTTGGTTACTAGGTGTTACAGAGCAACTGAGAAAAACAAATTAAAACACAGAGAAACAGCTCTGTGTACAGCTTAGATATAGTGAATGGGGTGGGGGGAGAAGGAGGAGGAGGAGGACACATGGGCTTAGCACAGAGAAGCTTAGCCAAACAACAAAACAAAGTAAATAACCTGCTCGCAACTAAATATACCTTTTTTCCCTATTTACTCACAATATACTTCGAGGTCCAGTATTCCTTGTAGGGATGGTAGTCCTGCCTGGATTAATTCATCTTGTTTCCCACAGCTCCCAGCTTAAACTCATACAAAAAGCAAAATGGCAGGCAGGTAGATCTTTACAATTCAAATCTTCACAGTCTCTGCCATTGGCTTGCCTGGCTCCCTAATAACACCCCCGATCTACCAGAGTTTAACCTTTTAGTCACCAAGTGCTTGTCAGCACTCCTCCTATCCATCACAACATCCAGCTAACTAAAATCATGCTGGGCCACAGATGTTGCTGGACCAGATAGGTTCAACCTGTAGTATCTTTCCAATATTATCAGAAATAATTGACTGTACTCTAAATCCTTGAAGTTGTAACTCATTAAACCAACTTACATTTTTAAGAAATGTTTTTCCTCATTTTGGGATATTTTCGATATCATCAGATTACTAATATAAATGTTGGCTGTTTCTCACTAGAGTCATTATGAACTTGAAGAAATGATTCAAGGTTTTTTCTCTCCAAAAATAAGAAAGATATCAGGTGATTTATGTAATCCAGGTAAAATTTTCAATAATTACATTACCAAAAATGTTTAAATGCAATCATATTTTAAAAAACAGCCACTTTTAAGGCAAACAGCTCACTAATAGAATAAAATAATTTCATATCCTTAAAATCTAGTGTACCAATTTCAGCCTACAAATAAAGCAGTTATACAGTGTAAATGCATTCAGAACACTAGCAAAATTCAAAGAATCAGAAATTTATATCCTTGTTACTAGTAATTACAGTCACATTCTTTACTGAACTATATTCCCAGCCTACACATAAAAGTGTCCTTCCCCATTATCCACTTAAAACTAAGTCACCCTTAATACACATGTGGAAAAGAGAGAAGCTGTGGCTATATGACTGCGTTAGCACAGGAAGCACTGCATGCACTGCTGTAAATGTATCTATCTACCTTTTAAGCAAAGTAGCTGAAAGCCCCTCAGGGTGTTCTTACGAAATGTAAATTCACTGAGTTGGAGACCTCAGCATAAAAATCTCTGCTTATACTGGATAGTAGTTTAACACTATCCTCTCCTTAAGAAAGGGAGAGAGAAAGAAATACTGTCTCCTTGTCACCATCTCCCTGTCACTACTATGCAGGCAGCAATGTTTTTGCTGATTTTGTTTCTTGGTGAAATAAAAACATTCTAAGCCTCTACTCAGAGTTGCTCTTTCAACACTAAGTAATAAATTCTTAATGCCATTGTGAAAAAGTAACATGCCAATGATTCATATTTGATATTAAATTAGAATAAAGACAAGATGGAATCAAAAGCAAAAGATGAGAGATAGATCTTTAAAGACAGACAGGGATTTAGATTCAGGTGGACACATCCAGACTGTATCATCAATATGCAAAAAATATGGGCCACCATTTTCAAATCTGGGTGCTTGAATCACTGCCGGTGTAACCCACACCTCTAGTGTGGCTCACTGTCCCATGCAGTGGCACCTGCACCACAGTAACAGATAAGAACAAGAGACCTCTACAGCACAAGCTGAGAGCTAGTTAGTTCTTAGCACAAAGGGTAGTGGCCTCTGTACTAAGCTCCAGAGGTCCCAGGTTCAAATCCAGCTGGTGGCAATTACAGAAGTCTTTAAATTGTTTTAATAGACATTTTAAGTAGCCTTCCTTAGGATATATACACATCTAAAAAAATATTTAGATTGCTACATAGAAATGGCCTGGCTTTCAGAGCACCCTCATCTCCTACTATCATCAATAGGAATTGCATGTTAGGCACCCAATTTTGAAAACATTTTTGCTGCAATCATTAGGAAAGAACAAAGCATAGGTGCCCTTGGAGTGAGGGGTGACTATTTGGAAATAAGATGCCAAGCATGAAGATGGGAGACAATTATGGTGTTTATGCACCTACTTAAAGTAGCTTATATAGAGTGAACACTAAGTATATTATGCATACTGTTTCTCTGGTTTTAATTCAAGCCCCTCTACTTATTCTTGAACGACGAGGGTGTATCTAGTGAGGTCACACAGGAGTTAATGCTGGGACTGGTACTATTTGATATTTTCATTAATGACTTGGACAATGCAATGAAGACCATGCTTATAAAAATCTGTAGATGGGCATCTCACTGGGAGGGCAGGGTTAACATTCAAAATCAATAGGGGAATTGGTCTAAAATCAACAAGATGAAATTAATTAAGTGTGAAGTGGTATTTCATTTAGGAAGGCAAAGAAATGCATAAGCACAAAATGGAGGGGTGGGGGAAGGAAGGGAGAATAACTGGTATTACCAAAAAGGATCTTGGGGTTAGAGAACCCCAAATTAACTATGAATCAAAGTGATGAAGTTGTGAAGAAGGCTAATATTGAAGGGTATTGTGACAGGGTGCTCTACTTACCACTGGGATAGCACCTCTCCCTCACTCCTCAGTCCTTCTCTTACACCACAAGCTGCAGCCTTCTCCCTGTAATTCAGCCCTGCAGCCCGGTCAGGATTCTCAAAGCTTCATGATGCTACCCTCCTCTGTGGCTGGCAGGGGGAATCCAAGCCTCCCCACTGGGTTTGCCAGTCTCCTAAATGCCTCCCACCACTATAGTTTCCAGAGAGACTACTTCCCTGTAGCCTACCTCCTCTATCACCTTGCCATTGTAATAAAACCCAGCCCAGCTTGTTCCTCCTCAGCTGAGCTCCCTCATTCAGAGGATTACACATTCCTCCTAATTCCCCTCCGCTGAGCCTGGCTAATTGGCCCTTTTTTTGGGTCTACATTAACCCTTTCAGGACAAGAAAGGAGGAAATACTTCATCACAGGTTTATTTATAAGAGTGGTAATGTGCACAGGGCTTGCCAACAGGAGAGGGGGAAAGGGAACAGTTAAGGTAGCTGGAATCCTGGGCCCTTTCAAATTGCCATGGGAACCTCAAGCAGCACACTCTGGCCAGCTTTGACGGCCATTGGTGGGCAAGGGGAGGGAGTCTCTCTTCACAGTCCTGTCCCTTCCAAGAGCTTGGCATCCCCCCACACACACTGCCCAGAGGCCCAGCAATCCTCTCAGCTCTCCTGGACATACAAGATCCAGGAGCTAAATGTCCCTCTCTGCTTGGTTCTAGTCCAATTGCGGGCACTTTAGGAAGTATGTGGATAAACTGGAAAAAGTCCACAAGAGAACAAGAGTAATTAAGAAGTTCTGAAAAACTTAACCTGTGAGGAAAAGCTTAAAAATGGGGCATATTTAGTCTCGAGGAAAAACACGACAAGGGACGGGATGGGCTAATAATTTTCCAGTACATTAAAGGCTGTTATAAAGAGGGCAGTGGTCAAGCATTGCTGATGTTAAATCTGCAGCTGATTTACAAAAGGGATCTCATTCAAATGGATAGTTAAGTGTAACGAGGCAGATGAAACTAAACAGATATAGTCAAAATAAAGGGATCCACTCACTGAATGGCATCACTTCCTGGTCATTCCACAGATGAGCTCTGGCCCAGCACTGTGCCCGTCTCCAGCAGCATATCCAATCCTCTTTTCACACCATCTGCAATGCATGGTGCTCCCTCTTCCACTGGTCTCCAGCCAGGTCCCTAGACATGTTTCCCCCTTCCCGAGTACTAAGGGGTTTTTTGACAAATGGGCTCATGCAGTCTTCCTGCTCACTATCCACCCGGTGTCACATCCCCAGTAGCTGGCATGGAAACCACCTATCCACTCTGAGTTCCAGTTTAGATGCCCCCTCATTAGCAGCCAAGATGAGCGTTCCTGACCCTTGCTGCTTTTCCCTGAGCCTCTTTTGTTCTTCCAAACTCTCCTCCTCCCAGGCTACGTCTACACTGGCATGATTTTGCGCAAGAGCATCCATGCCAGTGTAGACACTCTCTTGCACAAGAAAGCTCCGATGGCCATTTTAACCATAAGGCTTTCTTGCGCAAGAAATTCATGTTGCCTGTCTACGCTGGCCTCTTGCGCAAGAACAGTTGCACAAAAGGGCTTATTCCTGAGTGGGAGCATCATAGTTCTTGTGCAAGAAGCACTGATTTCATACATTAGAACGTCAGTATATTTGCGCAAGAACTCGCGGCCAGTGTAGACAGGCAGCAAGTTTTGGTGCAAAAGCAGCTGCTTTTGCGCAAGATCGCACCAATGTAGACACAGCACAAGGTAATAACAGTAGTCCTGAATTTCCCCTAACCTTCATGGCCATGCAGCTTCTTATTAAGCTCCATGAGGGGCTCAGGGCCACAGCAGGGAGATCTCTCTCCCCAAGTCTGAAGCTGCTGCAGCCAGTAAGAAGCACCCCTCTCCTCTGGCCACAGCACAGAGTTGGGGCTAGCATAGAGTAGCCCCTCCATGCTGGCCCAAACACCAAGCTGCTGCACGTGGGGGAAGAGGCTCTTCCTTGCTAGACCCAGCAGGGAGCTTCCCAGGTAAGCCTAAGCCCCAATTACCTGCGCATCTTGAGGCTTCCCCAGCCCTGAGCATCCTCCTGTACCCCAGAGTTCCCATCCTTAGTTCAAAGCCCCTCCATGAACCCCTCATCCCCAACCACAAAGCCTGTACCCCAACCCTCTGCCCTAGCCCTGAGTCCTATGCTCAGAATCCATTGGCCATACCCCCACCAAATGAATTTTGTTATGTGCACCAATATGAAGGTGATGTGTCTAACATCACCAACACCACACTGGTGCACATAAGACAATTCACTCTCCTCAGGGGTGGAAAAAATTAGAGGAACCAATGCTATAGATGCTGCTTTATAGTCCCAAACACCATTCCCACCTCCCAGGAAGTGACTACAGATTTCTTCCCTACAGCCTCTTTTTGCTTTTTAGCTCCTGGATTTTTTACAGGCCTCTCTATTCCTGTCCAGCTGAGCCTCATATCTAATCAAGCTCTGCTCCTTGGCTTCTTCTCCAGGTGCATCCTAGGGAGTTAAATGGCATAACGGGCTACGTTAACCTCACGACTCGTATGGGGTGATTCGTACATACAAATTGATGGGTTTTAAGTTAGTTGTAAGCAGCCAAGAAAGAGATCTGGGTGTCATGGTAGATCGTTCTCTGCAAACATAATAGTAGTGATTGGGAAAAAATGTTAGAAACCATCAAGAACGGGATATATAATAAGACCATAAATATCATAAATCCATGGTACACTTACACCTTGAATACTGCATGTAGTTTTGATCATAGAACTGGAAAAGGTGCAGAGAAGTGCAACAAAAAATGATTAGGGGATATGGATCAGCTTCCATACAAAGCGATTTAAAAGAGAACTGTTTATCTTAGGAAAGAGATGACATGGGACAATAGAGGAGTATAAAATCACGTAGGCTGTGTCTACACTGGCAAGTTTTTCCGCAAAAACAGCTGCTTTTGTGGAAAAACTTGCCAGCTGTCTACACTGGCCACTTGAATTTCCACAAGAACACTGACTTCCTACTGTCTAAAATCAGTGCTTCTTGCAGAAATACTATGCTGCTGCCATTTGGGCAAAAGACCTTTTGCACAAAGCTTTTGCGCAAAGGGGCCAGTGTAGACAGCTCAGATTTGTTTTGCGCAAAAAAGCCCGGATTGCGAAAATGGCAATCGGGGCTTTTTTGCGGAAAAGCACGTCTAAATTGGCACGAACGCTTTTCCGCAAAACGTGCTTTTGCGGAAAAGCGTCCGTGCCAATCTAGATGCTCTTTTCCACAAATGCTTTTAACGGAAAACGTTTCCGTTAAAAGCATTTGCGGAAAATCATGCCAGTCTAGATGTAGCCGTATGGTGTGGAAAGCATGCAGAAAGTGATGTTAGTTATGTAATACAAGAACCAGGGGTCATCCAATGATGTTATTAGGAAGCCAGGTTAACACAAACATCAGGAAATACTGATTCACACAAAGCATCACCCCTTTGTGGAACTCATTGCCATGAAATGTTGTGAAGGCCAAAAGTATAATTGGGCTTAGAAAATAATTAGAGGACAGGCCTAGAAATAGCTAGTAGACAAGATAGGGCAGCAAGCCTGAGCTCTGGGTGTCCCTAAACCTCTGACTGTCAGAATCTAGAACTGGACAATTGGGAGTGGATCACTGGATAATGCCCTATTCTGTTCATTCCCTCTAAAGCCTGTGGCCTCTATTGGACAAGAGGATATTGGGCTGGATGGGCCATTGATCTGACCCAGCATAGCCATTTTTATGCTCTTGTGCCTTCAAGAAATAATGGACTTAATCTGAAGCACAAGATATTTAGGTCAGGTATTATTCAAAACTTTCTCATGATAAAAGTAGTTAAGTTCTGGAATGGGCTCCAAGGAAGGCTGTAAAATCCCCATCACAGATTTTTAAGAACAAGTTGGAAAAACAACAGTTAGAAATGGTCTTCATTTACTTGGTCCTTCCTCAGAGCAGAGCGCTGCTGGCCTTGATAGTCTTTTGAGATCCCATCCAGTCCTACATTTCTATGATTCAAGCATCTGAAGTCCCCAACCATGACTTTTATATTGCATACAAACATAGTGGGCAATAAGTAAACAGGCAAGAATGTTAAATCTGACTTTTAAAGTGTTGCTCTTCTGTGTATTAAAATACCATCCTGGTACTCCATGTTTATTGCCTCACAATTATTTACAGACAATGAGTAGTCCTGCGGCACCATAGGCTATGTCTACACTACCACCCTAGTTCAAACTACGGTGGTAATGTAGGCAAGCGGAGTTGCAAATGAAGCCCGGGATTTGAATTTCCCGGGCTTCATTTGCATAAAGCTGGGCACCGCCATTTTTAAATGTCCGCTAGTGCAGACTCCGTGCCGCGCGGCTACATGCGGCACGGACTAGGTAGTTCGGACTAGGCTTCCTAGTCCGAACTACCGTTACTCCTCGTTTCACGTTCCGAACTACCTACTCCTTGTTCCAAACTACCTAGTCCGTGCCGTGTGTAGCCGCGCTACACGGAGTCCGCACTAGCGGACATTTAAAAATGGCGGTGCCCAGCTTTATGCAAATGAAGCCCGGGAAATTCAAATCCCGGGCTTCATTTGCAACTCCGCTTGCCTACATTACCACCCTAGTTTGAACCAGGGTGGTAGTGTAGACATACCCTTAGAGACTAACAAAAATATATAGTATCATGACCTTTCATGAGTAAAACCTACTTCATCAGATGATGAGCTGGAGAGGAATAATAGAAACCAAATATTTTATATCAGAGGGGGGAAAAGGTACCTGTCAATTGTAGGACCCTGGGCTTGAACAAAAACATTAACTAGGGCTGTGTCTACATTGGCATGATTTTGAGCAAAAGCAGCCACTTTACACTGGCGGGAGTTCTTGCGCAAGAACACTGATGTTCTAATGTGTGAAATCAGTGCTTCTTGCTCAAGAACTATGATGCTCCTGCTCAGGAACAAGCCCTTGTTCTTGCGCAAGAGGCTAGTGTAGACAGGCAACATGAATTTCTTGCGCAAGAAAGCCCGATGGCTAAAATGGCCATTGGAGCTTTCTGGCACAAGAGAGCGTCTACACTGGCATGGATGCTTTTGTGCAAAAGCACGTGCAGTACTGCCCTGCTGGCCCATTCATTGCCCCTTACAGCCACAACTTTGCTGGATGCTCCTCACACTTCTCCATCAATCACCAGCTGCAACACATAC